TATTTTTTGGAGGTTATTGTGAATGGGGTTATTTCTCTGATTTCCCTTTCTGCCTGTACATTGTTGGTATACAAAAAGCATCTGATTTTTTGTGGGTTAATTTTGTATCCTGCTACATTGCCGGAGTGGTTTATAAGTTCTAGGAATTTGGGAGTGGAGTTTTTGGGGTTGTTTAGGTATAAGATCATGTCATCTGCAAATAAGGATAGTTTAATTTCTTCCTTCCCTGTGTGGATTCCTTTAATGTATTTTTCTTACCTTATTGCTCTGGCTAAGGATTCCAGAACTATATTGATGAGGAGTGAAGAGAGTGGGAAATGGTTGTAGTGTTTCCCCATTTAGTGTGATGATATTGGCTGTTGGTATGTCATATATGGCTTTTATTGTTTTTTTTTATTTTGAAAGTACCATATAGAGAGGTTACAATTACATGGGCAAGATAATGAGTACGTTTCTTGTCAAACATTGTTGCCTCCTCCTTTGTTTCCCCTTCCCATCCCCTCCCATCACACCCCCACCCCACTCCCAAAGTTGTAAAGTTCGTTTTTCAACATAATGACTTGTATAGCTCATTGTTGCAATGGGTCCACCTGGGCTTTTATTGTTTTAAAGAATATATTTTCTATTTTCTCCAGATCCTTTAACATGGATGGATGTTGTATTTTGTCAAAAGTCTTTTCTGCATCAATGGAGATAAACATGTGGTTCTCGACCTTGGCTCTGTTGATGTGATGAATAACATTTTTTGACTTCTGTATGTTAACTCAGCCCTGCATCTGTGGGATGAAGCCTACTTGATCATCATATGTGATTTTTTATATGTTTCTGGATTCTATTGGTTAAATTTTATTGAGGAGCTTTGCATCTTTGTTTATCAAAGAGATTGATCTGCAGTTCTCTTTTTTTTTTTTTGTTGGATCTTAGCCTGCTTTGCGGATGAGTGTGATATTGGCTTCATAGAATGAGGTTGGGATTTCTCCCTTTGTTTCTGTATTGTGGAAGATCTTGACAAGATGACTATTAATTCCTCTTTAACGGTCTTAGACCTTTAGTGAATCCATCTGGGATTTTCCCTATTGGAAGACTTCTGATTGCTTCCTCTATCTCATTGTATGTTATTGGCTTATTTAATTGATTTATAGCTTCTTGGTTCAGTTTGGGCAATTTGTAATTCTCTGAAAATGCATCCATTTCTGCTAGGATTTTCCTTCCTTAGTGAGTATAGATTCTGGAAATAGTTCTTGTTTTCTTTTGTTTTTTTTTTTGGAGGGGTGGGGGGTCCAATCATGAGGCCTGAATTCTGGGCCTGGGCACTGTCCCTCAGCTCTTTAGCTCAAGGCTAGTGCTCTACCAGTTGAGCCACAGTGCTACTTCTGGCTTTTTTCTTTTTGCTTATGTGGTGCTGAGGAATGGAACCCAGGGCCTCATGAATGCAAAGCAAGTGCTCTACCACTGAGCCACTTGTGCTTCACTTCTGGCACAGGCTCCTCTTTGCAACGTGGCTCTGCCACTTGTGTGCTGGGTGTCATGAGGCAAGTCTCCCTGTGTACAAAATAGAGTGAGTAGCACCCCATCCAAGGGCTCATGGAGCTCAGCCTGGCTCCTGGGTTCTCTTGGGGTGGCTTGCTTGGCTTTGGCTGCCAGCAGATTTCAGGGAGGAGGACAAGAACCGGGTGCTAGGCGGTGCTGTGGGCAGGGGGTTGGCTCAGCGGGAGAGGATGGGCAGGAGCAGTGCTGCCACGTGGGGATGGGGAAGAGGAAGTAGGGAAGCTCACCCAGCCTTCTGTGTTCCTCTCAGGCACCCAGCTCAGGCAGGCCATCGTCCACCAGAACTACCAACCCCCGAGCCTTGCGGAGCTCTTTGGAACCATTCTCCCCCTGGACTTGGAGGACATCTTCAAGAAGAGCAAGCCCTGCTACCACAAGCGCACCAGCTCTGCCTTGTGGAACTCACCGCCTCTGCAGGGGCCCTGGGTCCCCAGCAGCCTGGCCTACAGCCTGAAGTACTGAGGCACGTGTGCACTCTGCCCTTCCGGCAGTCTTGGGACCTGTGTCTTGTCTGTGTCTGTCTATTTTGTCTGTGTGGTGTGCGTGTTGGGCTGGTGCCCTACCGCCTGGTGTGCCATGGCTGAGGGCTCTGCCGTGGAGTGGCTGTGGCTGTCCTCTGAGTGCCAGGCTTCTGTGCTGCAAGGGGAAAGGGAGCCCCAGACCA